TCATCATCATCATCATCATCATCATCATCATCATCATCATCATCATCTAGAGATGCACGTGGCTGGTTTGAATGCTGCAACACATTTACAGCAGCACCCACATCATCATGTTCATCATCGTCATTATTATCATCACCACCGCCATCATCCTCATACTGGTTCACAGATGCAGGTGACGCACCTGTTTTAACATGCCTACATAGATGCAGGCGTTTGGATACAGGCATTGAGATACAGGTCTTGGAATACAGGTGTGGGGATGCCAGGTGTAGAGATACAGGCGCTGAGATACAGGTGAGAGAGCAAGACCGACAGACGGACGGACGGAGACGGACGGACGGACAGAGACAGAGACAGAGACAGAGACAGACAGACAGAGACAGACAGACAGGTGTTGAGGTACAGGTGAAGACACCTACTGAAACCACCTGCGCAACTACAACTTCGACATATTCCCTTAAGGCGGCGGGGTGGCCCGGCCGATGCTCACGAAATACTCTGTGGAGATCCTTGTCGGATGTGCGAGACTGTGGTAATTTTTGAGTTGCCTCTGGACACCCCTCTGCAATCTGCGGAGATTGTGCGAGTCGAGTGTTCAATCATGAGGTGAAATGCGAATTTACGTTGTTCTTGGTGCCTTTTGCGGAGATCGCGTGTGTCGAGTGCTCAGATGTGAGGGGGCATGCGAATTTTGTTTGGCCGCGGTTACCCTTTGCGGAGATTGTCCGCGGCGAGAACTCAAACGTGAGGTGAAGTGAGGCCAAGGGTAACCAGAGTAGGCAGAGAAAACATCATCCGAGGAACGCAAGCCTGGAGACAGAGCCAAAATCATCCGGCCCAGGCGTGCAACTCTTTAATTTGAGTAAGAGCCCCATACAGGTAAAACGGCTTGAGGAAAAGCACTACAAAATTCACCACGCACTTCTGGCATAGCTGGGGCACAACAAGTGCGCGCCGCATGGAGTGGTGAGTGGAGCGACGATATTGCGTCCGTCTAGATCATTTTGGCAATGGCACCATTGTGAGCACCACTGCTCTTATCACCATCATCATCATCATCGTCGTCGTCGTCGTCATCATCATCGTAATTTTTTCCATCTTCGTGGTCAGCGTCATCATCTTCGTTACGATCCCCGTCCTCCTTGTTACCTTTTGTCATCTCCTGTTGCGCTTTCAGGCCACCTTGTCGCCTATATAAGTAGTTCTTACATGTTTTTTACAGGTCTATGGTTACGGTTGCCCCAGCAAAGGGGGCATTGGAGGAGCAATTTTTTGATGTTAGGATGTCTTCGTAGACTGTCAGAAAACAAATCAAGATCAAATCAACATGTAAAATGTTCACTTTAAACGGAAGACAGGGATTTTTTGGCGTCTCGAACTCTTGTTTTTGGTCCGGATGATCCCCGGTCATGAACTCAACTCTTTTTGGATCCCGTTCCAACGGTGAGGACTACATGGACCAACCTGGCATGGACTTCATGGTGTGTTTTTCAGGACCACGCGGGGTTTACTGAGGACCATCACTAAACGAAATGCCTCAGGCACCAAGCTACTCCTTCTCCACGGTTCTGTGCACGTGCGCCTGGTGCCGAGCGAGCCGGAGGGCGCCTTTGTGGGCGCATGGGGCGCAGCGGTGGCGGCGGAGTCGGCGCTGATGGAGCCACAGTGGGTTGAGCTGACCGTTGGGGAAACCCAGTTGGAGGGGATAGCCGGCGGGTGAAGCTTTTCTAATTGCAAGACTCATTCATACGATACGCCAGGGGTCAAAGAGGTCCTGTGTCCATCTTTCATTGGCTTCGTGTAAGGCCTCAAAAGAATTCCCAAGAAGGTCAATTTCTCGCTCAGGGTCCAAGTTGCCAAGAGATGCTAAGAGTCATGCAGTCATGCGGCCGTAACCCCTGGTGTAGATAAGATAGATGTAGGAAGGCAAGTAACATAATAGGCAGAGGTGCAGTTTGGCTCCAGACCAGGAGCAGTTCGGCGCCAGGCGACTCGACCTGGTGCTCAGAGTTGATGTGGGCGAGTGACGATCACAGTATCTCTCATTCCAGTGGTTTCACGGAGTAGATGGCACAATCCCGCCCAGATGTCAGTAATAGATGGTTGCCCCCAAAAACACGGTTTGAACATTGTGCAAGCTGCTCCGGGAACCACTGTAATTAATTCGATCCGTCTTCAATTCTCTAACACGCTGACTTCATGCATAGATGGCACACCAGCCGAGGCTGGGCAACGCCTGAGCATCCCAGCTGGATGGTGGTACAGCATCAGCTGCGGACGTGTGACTTGGCGTGGGGAATAGCCTCAACATCCATCCATAGTTCAATAGAGGCAACAGTGCAGCATGGAGCAAAGACAGAGGCCACCAATTCTCAAAGGGGCAATTGGGTCTCAAAATGAGGCACTGTCCCAAAACTAGGCCATTGAATGGTGCTCCAACTCTTCTGGGTTCCCCTTAAGCTGTTCGACACACGCAAATTTGCGTCCGCATCAGGAGAAGATGTGGGGGCTGCAGATGCAAAGCCTTTTGTCGCATCCTGACCCTTCGGAGAAGCTTGGGCGAAAGATTGACTTTTCCAATTCGGCTTCTGTCGAAGCCTGGACCCAATCCAAGACAATTGTCAATACACAGTCCATGCTTTCAGATCTGTCACTCAGGTCTCTTCTCCAGACCGGCACGCCTGGCATGCCACTCACGTCGATGCCCTCTGCCCTTCGTCTGCACAGGCTTCATCCGGTTGCCAGGCGAACCGCCAGGCCCTGAGGGTACAAGAACGATGTTTTGCGACATGTTGCGACCTTCTGGGCGGCAAAAGGTTACGTAACTCAATGCAAAAGGCATCAAAGTTGGAAAATGCATGAAGGTTTTTCGAGAAGAGTTCAGTCCAGAGTGTCTTTTCCCCCTGAGCCATGCAGATCAGCCCGTCAAAGACATCGCGGTTCGTGCAGATGAATGCGGATCGTTTCTCACTCAGCCCAACTGCCAAAGGAACATCACCAGCTGCGGCGATGCCTTCCCGGGCTCTTCCCCCTACCCACGAAGCGCCGTGCGACCCTTTGCACCAGCGACCAGAAAGAGGTGCCTCGGACCGAGCGACCTGGACGCGTGGAACGCGGGGGGGCAAGGATCCGAGAGGCACAAGGATGAATGGACGGATGACGGTATTTTGAAGGATTTGAAGGTGTGCATCATGGGATGACCTGTAGGTGGTTGTGGTTTGTGGCCTGTGGAAGCGAAGGTGGCAGGTAGTGTTCCTCCAGTTTGAGTGACAATTGCTAGCTGTTCCTCCAGTGTTCGCTGGCACAGGAATGCTCTTAATGAGATTCCAAGCTGCAGGTGTTTGGACGGGAGGGATGTCGCAAGTGTGAAATTCTTCTTGTGTTTGTGTACATAAACATGTGTCTCAATCTCATACTTGATTGATTGTTGTTTCGATATGTTTGATTGTTTTTGATAACACATGCGACAATTGCAGCATACAGAATCGGCAAAGTTGCAGTTTTTCTATTCCAAGTGCTTGGATCAAACCCTCAAGCTTCTCTGAACCAGCCTCACCACTTACAAGGTGGCCCAATGATCGTGGCACTTGGCACTTTGCACTAAAACTATAGTTCACGTGTTCAGATACAACAAATCTGCCCGAGAAACAAGAAAAATCTTCGTATCAATAGGATGAGACATCAACTAACTATAGATTCTACACATTCCTGGTGGAGAGGTCGCTAGCCCCACCCAGCCGATCCATCTCTTCTCCCCCGCCAGGCGGAGGGCACTGGGCGACTTTTGGAGGTGCTGTCGAGGGCGACTATGGGGTACTCACTCCCCCAGCTTAAGCTGGGAAGGGCACCCATCATCCACCTGCTTTGCTTCATTTTGCTTCATAATCCTTCACTTCTGTTCTCCGCCATTTGCTCAGCTCCATCCTCACTTTTCATCGCGTTCGGGTGAGAAATCTCCCAACCGGCCTTTTGGGTCGGATTTGTTGAGCCACTGCCCCCACCCTCTTGTGGGTCACATGTTCTTTCATGTGGGGCATTGGACACCGCACAGGGATGGGAAGTGACACTTGCTAAGGGGTCTATGGGCTGAGGGACCCCATTGCCCGCCAGGTGATGTGGAAGCTGAGTGTGGTGTATCCCGAGTTCGTTTTAGCTGGAGTGGGTCTACCTTGGGATAGCTTCCTTTGGTCGAGCCGCTGGGTTGGAATTGCTTCTTTCGGTCCATTCCATTGGTCCATTGGTGTTTTCATGGAGTGGGCCACTGGTGGTGTTTGTGATTGGGTGCCATGACCGTGCCTGGGCACGTCGCGTTGCTCGGTCCAAGGAGTCCCATGGGGCTCCCAATTCGGACCAGACCTGAGGTCTGACCAATCCATCAAGCACATGGTTTCTGAGGTGTCCTGTTTTTGTTGAGGATCACCCACAAGGACCCACTTCAACTCGAAGAACCTCTAGAAAATCGTCCCAAATCTCAGGAAACACCATCCTCAACCGTCGTCAAACGCAAGCTCTTTTGACTCACCTAGGTGAGTCTCTGGAGCTTTTCGTTTGCACCCGTGGCTTTTGGCGCCCGTGGCCTTCGACGTCGTGCACAGCCAGCTCCGGTGCACCTGTGCAGCTCCTGTCGGAGCTGTCACTGCCAGGCGTTCCGAGGTGATGGGTGGGGATGTGGGGTAGGTCCGAGGTGACAAATCGATGTGTCAAACCTATGCGGCGAGGATTTTTAGGTAGACCGTCACACCATCTGTATAGATAGATGATCATGGCATATACTATATAGAGGTAGGCATAGACGGCCCCGGGATGCAGATAGACGGACGGGAAAGGATTTTAAGCGGTTTCAAAGATCCAGCAGGGGTGACACAAAGATATCACAAGCTATTGGGACAATTGCAGCTTTCCTGTAGGTTCAGGTTAATTGCCGTAGTCATGAGGTTCTTTTTGCCCAGAACAGGTTTGCAGAGTCAATTGACAACAACAGACCAGCCTGGAACAAGAACAGACAAGCGGTTTTGATTAAATTTAGCGAATTGTGACGTGAACAGTTAATGTGGACGCTTTTTGTGACTTAAGTCTAGCAGTTGTCATCATATATGGACAATGACATTTGTGCCAATCAGAATGTCACACCACATTTGTGGTGAGTCGTACGGCTCGTGTTTTTGTGCTTCTGGTAGCAGTTTGGAGGACTTCACATGCTCGGAGACTGGTTCTTCCAACCCAGTTTTGGACCACCTTACTCCACCCAACGGGCTCACTCGACCCAACGTGTTGGGTTTGCGCATGGCAGCCATCGTCTCTTTCTGGAAACGTGGACGCAATGACAACAACGCTGTGGAAGCCGATGACACTGGTGTGCAACCCATGACAATGTGTTAACAAAAGCAACATGATATGGTGAGAGGAACAGGACTGAGTGCAAACATAACATCATGAATGCAGCAAGGATGCAACGATGCCAACAACTTGACGAACGCCTACTTGCAACCACATCCACACCCTGAAGCCGGGCTTCCATGCGAGTTTAATATGGCTCCGTCGTGCACTTTTAGGGTGGCTGAGGCCAAAACACGGTCAGATGGGTTCTAGAGGTTTGTAAACGTGCCACAACCGGCACAAGTTTTGCGCAATTGCCAAACCTTTGAAACGTAGAGTTCTTTAGGGTGCTTGTTTTGTCAGTGATTCCTGGCTGAAATCAAGAGGTAAAGGCTACTGTACACCAAAGTGAATCATTGAATGGGCTGTGGTAGGTCTTTTTACCCTCCGCAAGCATTTGCACAAGCAACTTCCACGGATTGATCCGCCTGCGACATCAGTGAATCCTGGCAGGGCCGCATGTGGAGTTGAGATCGGGTGGGATGCCGCGCATCATCTGGATGTTTTGGGCGCAAGAGGATGGACTTGGTGGCTTCCGGCGTGCTTGCATCAGGTCTTGGGTTTGCAAGAATCCCACCTGGTGGCTTGACCCAGGGTGAGGGTGAGTTGTGTCACAGTTTGGGGAACAGAAAATCATAGAAAATGGGTTGAAGCTTGTCGTTGTCATCGGCTGAGGGCTGAGGGGTGAGTTTTGCAGTTGGGTTTCCAGGACACAGAATCAGGAGGAACAGTGCAAAAAAAAAACACATTGGCTTTCCAAGAAAGGCGGACATTGACCCATGCCTGCTTCCCACAAACATGCACCGGACAACCTGATCCAAGAAGTTTTGAGAATCCACAGGTGGGGAAGGACCCGGGGCCGAATATAAATCCATTTGGTCATTTGGTGCTCATCCGTGTGCCCCCAAAGGTGCAGTGACCGGCCCACGGTCCAGCAATGTCCAGCAAACCCAGTTGTATAGATCCGCTCACCGGTCGGGCCCTGAAAACCCGTGGTCCGGGGCACTTGAGACTGACCCCTCTACCGCGGTCCGTCACGGTCCGCCAGCTTTCTCTCTGCGGTGCGTCGACCGGTGAGTCCGTCGGTGCGAACGTTGAGGCAGGTGGTGCTGCTGAACACCGAGACCTGCTTGTCCTACCTCGACCCCACCGAGCTTCCGCGGCCGTGGGGGGCGCGCCCCTCGCGGTGCCGCCGCCCCACGGTGCTGGCCGATGCGGTACGGCTGGCGCTCCTGAAGCGGCATGGAGGCGCCCCTTTAGTGGCTAAGTGGGGAGTGTCAACAAGAAGGAACACAAAGGAATCCAAGGGAAATCCTGCACATAGTCAAGAGCAAATAGACCAGGAATGAACAGGACATGTTAAACCTCTTCAATCTCAATCACCCAAAAATGACATAACAATTTTTTTGAGGACTTTTGCATCCTTTGTCCCAACACACCGGAATATATGGTTAGTGGCCGGATGTGGCCAGGCGGAATACGGCCGACCTCTCAGATCAAGAGCACCTGAAATTCTTCAACTTCCAGAATCAGGTGGACAAATAGTAGTGGAGCATAACGTAGTGAACGCACATGTATGGCTTTTACCCTGCAGGTGTGTATGTGGATGTGAGCGTGGTATGCTGTAGATCCTTAGACAATTGGCTCATGAAGAGCTTGGGCCAACATGAGATGGCAGCGTTTTACTATAAGAATTTTGGGCGCTCAGACCGGATCAACACCGGTGAGTACGTCGAGAACTGGTTCCTGGCATGTCTGCAGGGTAGTCAGCTGATGCGTCGATGGCATGAAGCCTTCCAACTCTTCTGGACAGATAGGGCTGATGCACATGACTATGGCGGTTTGCGAAACAGCCAGATGTTCAAGCACACAGATTTAAGTTGCATGACAGAGGATCAGACAAACTATTTAACGATGCATTGCTGTTTCAAGTGGTTGATCGACTCTGACGCTTTTGCCCGCAAGCTCTGGCAAACTTCAACTCTGCTGATTGCAGCTGATACAGCTCTTGGCTGGATTTTGGACTTGCCCGGTCTGAGGGAGAACTGGTCAATCAGCACCATTACAGGTCATCATGCTGCACATTGGCTTTACAGGGATGACCTGGCATGGGTGGCGAAGCTGGTTAGACTGTCACCAATGCTCAAGTTTGTGGGGGCACATGCCAGCGTGTTTGATCAGCAGCCTGAGGCAGAGCTGATGCGAAAGGGCACCTGCATGCAATTTCTTTTGTCTCATGCTCTCCAGCCAGATGTCATGGATGTCATGAACCTTGATGAGCTCCACTTCGAAGCTGTGGACTGAACGGACCGCCCAGCGACTGTTTGATTGATATTGGACGATGGTCCGCTCACCGAGGAGGTATTTTTTCAGTCTTTCACACCTCACGAACCACGAGCTTGAACGACCCTTTGCCACGGCCGGTTCTTCTCAAGAGCGTCGGTGAGCGAGACCGTCGCGGCGAGACTCGGCCGGACAGTCCCGTTCGGTCTGCGAGGGAGGAGGACGGCGCTTTTTGCCCATCACTTGACAGAAGCAGATGTAGCCTTATACTCGTGTATATTAATAACCCCACCTCCATTTGAATTGAGCATCCTCTTCATATGGGGTGTGTGTGAATCAAGAGTCTTCTTCGTGCCCTACTACCACTATCATTAGTTAGTAGGATGCCAGGATGCCACTGTTCCATGCTCCTCCGCCTTGCGTTTTGGCAATTCCAGTGAGCAGCCACCAGTTGGGTGCTGGATGTGACGTGGTGACGTGGTTTCTATGATGCCAAGTTTTCGTGCAGCAGAATGGTTATATCTATTGCAACCAAGAATGTAATTTAAGTAATTATAGTACCGATGATATTAGAGGCTATTTTAAAGTTGAATGTTCCTTTGCCCACACCGCCCTATACTTTGCTCCCATCCCGCTCATGACTAGGAGGATTTTCTGAATCGTTTGCTCTGCGTTTCTCTGGTTTGGATGCAGGTGAAAGGTTGTCAGAGGAGCTTTCATCTTTGCTGGGAGCAGGCTTCAGACAGAGCACTCTCCTTGCAGACTGACGTGCCAGATCCCTCCCGAGCAATCTGTCAAAACAGCTTTCAGATATTTCCCTGCCAGTTTCCCGAAAAGACGCCACTTTGCGCGAAGGACATGGGACGACATGGATTATCCTCGCATGGCCGCTGCATCGAGCTGCCACGTGCCGCTGCCACGTGGGGAGCTGGAGACCTCCAACGCCGGTCAGGCGACCGGTCGGCGAGGCTTCACCTGAGCCCGGCCACATCCAATGAGTTGCGGCTCAGAGAGGCCCATGTGACCCCATCTCCGGGTCTCCGGGCAACGGTGTGACAGTTCTTGCAAAAGGAGGTTTGGAATGGGAGAGAGAATCAGACCAGATGAATCCAACGACATGTTCCTGCTACATCAACAACGTTCTGTTTGTGGCACTTGATGCTTTGGGAGATCCAAGTGATGGGGATCCAAGTCAATCAGCCCCGATACTCTCGCCGTGGTCACGTCGGATCCCCGTCGCCTCGCCTCGTGGCGACGCCCCACGCACCACGCACCCAATGGGTTAACTATATGACTATACAGTATATGGTTCTTCAGGAGGTCAGAAAGTCCTGAAGGTGATACTACAAGCGCTATACTACTACAAAAATCCGTCTCACAAAGACAAGATCCTATACATACTGTACCATGCTCATCTTACGATTCAACTGTACACACACACACACACATATATATATATATATACTGTATATATATATATACAGGAGGGACCAAGGATTCAAGGATTCGCAGGGCTCCCAAACAATGACATTATCAAGCATGTTGATGGGAACATCTTTTGCACCACCTAGGAGACCTTGCAGATATCCTGTTCATCCACTGCAGGGAAGTCCCCAAGGGCCGGGTTTGGGTGCGTGCGGGGGGCAAGTTCTGGTGCTAGGGCCACAGTAGATTTAGGGTTCCTTGCATTTATGTGGTGCTCAAATGGCCACTCCCAGATCATAGCTACGCCGGCCGACGCACCATCTGTGATGTGCGATTTTGTGGCCCAGTGTTCAGACTTCCTTTCGAGCACTGCATGATCTCCGGTCAACGTTCGCCTACGGGCTCCCCCCAAAACCCATAGTTCGACCGAAGGTTGGCTGGAAGCTTGAACCCTTCTGAAACCTGGTACATACATCCACACATACACACACACTTCGAACTTGGATTTTCAGTTAATGCAAGTATCACGTTGGGAAGGAAGGTGAGGGAAACGTAAGGTGAAAGGTCAGCGCAACTGAAATGTTTAACAATCTGTTCACTCATCTGCAGAAGCGCGGCTGAACGTCGGCGGCTGAAAGCAGCGGTGGGAAACCTGTTTTTGGGGTGGTAGCATGAAGGACCATGAAAGCAAACCGATCAGATTGGACAGCTTGAAAAACAGTTCTTCTTGCAGGTACAGGAATGTGCGTCCACATTCCCTTCCGGCTGAATCCCGTAGCTTCGTTGGCATGGCTAGGGAAACAGCTGCCATGCCCCCTGCTTGTGGAGAAAAGGTGGTGGAAAACCCTTTGTCCAGGGTGGGACACACACAGATCGCCGCATTCGGCGCTTTTTCAAAAACCGGTGGCAGGCGTGGTAGTTATGCCCCTTTTGGACATATAGGTTCACGAGTTCAGCCGCAGCAATGTCAGCGCTGGAGGGTGGAAATGTGTATTTTCGAATGGTGTGAAGTCGTGATTGAAGGCCTGATAGAGCCAAGCGCTGGCTCCCGGCAGTGGTGGAATCCCGGATTTTCCAGGGTTGAGAAGGTTGCATGTAGGTGATGGTGCGTTGTGGGAGGTCGATGTTGAAACCGAGGAGATGAAAGTCCTCCACCGGTTCTAGTTCCACTGGGTCGCCAAAGAAATTGTGGTGGATGAGGGTTTGGATAGCCGGGTGTTGAAGGAAATGTTCGTTGTGGACAATGAAGCGGTTGTCGACATAGCGATAGTAAGTAAAGTGGAGGTCTGTATGTTGAAGGAGGTTGTTGTGGATCTGATGCCAGGAATGCTCAATGAGGGTGATGGCAACGTTGCATAGGGCTGGAGAGAGCTGGGATCCAATCCCGGCCCCTCGGACTTGTTTGTAAGTATTGTTGCAAGCCCGGAAAATGCATGTGTTGAGGGCAAAAGCCACGATGGTGGTAATGTCGGAAGTCTGGATGGTGCGTTGGGTGGGGTGCTTCTGATGGTGTCGGCCAATGTGTGAGTGGTGGAAAGGATTGCCTGTGGCCTGGACATCCACCGTTAAGGTGTGTGTGGATTGCTGTTGTTGCCAGTGGTGGACGAGGGAATGAACTGCGTCGATGAGTCGGTGCTGGGGAACGGAGTTGAAAAAGCCGACCAGGTCATCGTTGGTGGCGTGTAGTGAGATGTCTGGTGGGGTTTGGGTGAGGTAACTGTGAAAGTGGTGCCAAAGCTGGGGAATGGACATTTGGCCTGGATGTTGAGGGTAGAGGTGTTGGAGGATGATGTCAAGGGCACGGCTGGTGATGCGTAGCAGGTTGCCACTGAGTGATTGGAAGTATGAAATGATTGTACGGCCTTTTTGCCAGTGCTTCTTCTCCTTGAGGTGGACAACCCCGTAGGGAATGTTGAAGTCTTTTCGGAAGCCCCACTTGTAGCGAGTGCGCAGGATGGGGGGGACAGTGGCGGCCAGGTGGTCGTGGATGTTGGCGGCAGTGAGGTATGGAAGTGGTTCGAAAAGTTCGGGGGATTGCCAGGTGTTCAAGGCGCCAGTGAAATATTGGCGAGGGCAAAACAGCCGGAGTTGCTGGAGCTCATGATCGGCATGGTGGAGTAATGTGTGTTTGCCCAAATATTCTTGGAGTTGGCGAAGCAGGCGAGCCGTAAAGCGGGGTTGTTGTTTGAGGTGTATGTTGTGGAGGCGCCATTGGTGCTCAAGGAAAGGCTGTAGGTGTTGAACTAGGGATGGTGGAAGCCCCTGTAGTTTGAGCCATTTGGTATAGGCCGTCTTGAAAATGAGGAAGTAACGAGCCTTGCTTGGGTAATAGGTACTGTTCATATTGGCTTTGAGGAAAATGCTGAGGTGTGTAGGGAGTTGGAGTTGATCAAGTGTGAGGATGTAATGGCCGTCGATGGTAGGGGTCTCCGGATCCTGCAGGAGGGTGCGAAGGTGATCGCATGCACAGGGGAGGTCTGCGGGATCTGGCGGGGAGTGGAGGGTGTCCTCCCATGTGCGGTGGTTGTGGAGGTGGGAGCGGAGGGTTTTGTGGGCGGCTTCCCTCAGTCTGTGTGAGGGGAGGTGGAGGGGTATGGTGAAATGCTTGTGCTGCTGGATGGTGGTGCGTAGCCATTGTTGGCAGTGCTTGGGAAAGTCGTCATGGGCCAAGAAGGGCACTGTCAATGGGATGTTTGGCTTTGGTGGCGTGAGATTGCGGTAGAGCAAGGCTTTGTTGAGAATGTGAAGGGCTCGGCTGCGGCCAGGTTCTTCCAAATTCGCGGCCATACGCCGTATTGCATACACCTCGAGGTCTGTGTGGCGGCCGCTTCTTAGCTGCTTTGCTGCCTCGAAAGAGGCTGCGGTGTGTTTGGTGAGGTTGCGAAGGAGTTGGAGGGCGTGATGCTTCGTGGAAGTGTAAAGGTGTGGTTCTCTGAGGGTGTACTGGCGTTGTCGAAGGCGTCGGAAAAGTCGTTTGTGGGTGGCTAGTCTGGAGTAGAAGTGGGCTCTGTGTTTCGCAAACTGCCACCCCTGAGCTTTGAGTTTGAGGTGGTGGGAAATGAATGGCCAGTTGAGTGAAGGCATCCAGTTGGCGATGTAGTGGTGCTCTTGGATCCAGGCTTGGTCGTATGTGTCATGGGAGGTGAGTTGGATAGTGGTGTAGTGGTGGATGTTGTTGTGGGAATGCCAATAACGTAAGGAGAGTTCTGCAGAAATGGGAATGTTGTTTTGAAGTTGTTTGAGTTTGGCGCGGCGATTGTGTTCGCGGTGGGGGATGCCGATAGCTGTGGAGCCAACGTAGAAGTGGCCGTGTTGATGGTAACAGCGTTGGGGTTGGTCGGGATTGAAGTGGAGCTTGATGTAGACGGAATTGGAAGAGAGGAAGTTGTGGTAGTGGTAGGTGTGTGGTAAAATGTGGAGCTGGCGGAGGCGGTTGCGCCATTGTTGTGAGCGACGGGTGTTGGATGGGTATGCGAAAAGTAGTGTGATGTGGATGAGGCCGGTTGCAAAGATGGCCTCGGCGCGGTCAATGTATTGGGTGCGGTGGATGAGCATGGAAAGTGTGCGGTGCAGGTGGAAGAGTTGGGTGAGGTTGGTGTGGCTGGGTTGCTGCTGGGCCACGATGGCGAGTCAGCAACCGATGGCTGCTCCTACTCCCACCAGCTGTTGTAGGCTGCGAATGGGGAGTCGATTGACTCGGTTGAGGGGTAGGCCATATTTGGTGGCTGCTTCTTTTAGCTGCTGCGTGGTGACCTTGCTTGTTTGCAGCAGTCGGATGACTTCCGTCGCAGCTTCTTGGATGGTGGGGTCGAAGGTAGTGACCCATTGTTGGATCTCTGGGTAGTTCCAGCCTTCGGGGATGTCGTCTTGCAGAGTGGGGTGTGGTGGTTGCAAGACGTCGGTGATGGCTGGTGGTTTCGGTGGTGGTGGCGTGGGTGCGTGAGAAGGGGCGGCTGGTGCGGAAGATCGGCTGGTGTTCTTGACTGGTGTGAGTGGGTTGCCCAGGTCCTGGAGTTTCTGACGTGCACGAGCCAGTTCGTCGTTGGTGGTCTTGAGGGCGCGTAGGGCGGAGCCTTCCGCAGGTGCTGGGGAGTGGGTTTGCAGTTGGTCGATAAGCAGTTTGATGAGGGGAGCGTGAAAAGCTCGGGCATGGGTAGTTTTGTTTGGAACGTCTGTGCTCTGTTGTGTGTGGAGAGCCTCCGCTATGCCGTCAAGGTCAAGGCGGTGCTCGCGGAGTTGTTGGAGAAAAAGGGTCACGAAGACCGACTCCGCTATGCTTCTGGTGGCAATGAAACCTGTAAATTTGCCGTTGCTCAGTGTACGGGCGGTGAACTCGGAGGTACCGTGGTAGGCCAATTGCCACGGGAAGACCTCAAAGGTGGGGAGGCCAGCCACTCCTGCTTTGCGAGACCACTGGGTGGGTTGAATTGTACGATGTAGTTGGTGGCCGTGCAGGGTGTTGGAGTCCCAATGTTGCTCGGTGGGGTTCCAGGAGTCGGGAACAGGTGGTGTGGGAGATGGGATGTGTGGGGGCGGTGGGGCGGGCGCTGTGGTGCCACGTGTGGTAGGTGGTGGCGGGGGGGCTGTGTTTGAAGGTCGATGGTGGTGGAGTGACAGGTTCGGCCGTGGGCAGAGGTGGCGGCGGCGGAGGTGGAAAATCTGGCTGGGAGTTGGGTGCCTGGGGTGGGG